TTTCATTTACACTTACAATGTTCCTTGCCTTAAGTGCAGCCTTGTGCCACAGGACTGATAAGGCAGGGAGACTCCATTTTCTGTTCTCAACTCCATCTTCGGAGAAGTCACTTAGAGTTCATTTAAGCCGTAGTTCACCCCAATCGATTTGGTGATCAAATCAGCGAAGCAGAGTCATAATGGGAACAGACCAAACAGGACAAATTGGGAAGTGGGCTACAAGTTAAACTGCACTGATCATTTGGAATTTGGTTCTCTTATCTTCTGGGAGAAGTAAACTTTGTGGAGATTCCCCCCAAAAAAGTTAATAGTTACTATAGAAACCTATAATGTGTTTAAACTGAAGGTAAGACCCAGATCAGAACAGACATCTTCTCTGGCCCCTGGTTAGAGACCATCCATCAGCTGGCTAATAAAGCGTTTTTGTTCATGCCTTTTTGGTTTTCTTGTGGGTGCCCTTCTTGTTGGACTCACCAGCCATATCAGGGTCCCATCACTGAGTGCTTTGGTATCATGGCAGCTCACATGGACTCACTTTCCCTGGAAGCTTCCCATTTGATCCTTCTACCTTGTACTCACCACTGGCCTCCCACAGCAGGCATGTTCCTCATCACAACCCCTGCACTTCCGAAAGGATCGCTACGTTAGAGAGTTGGTCTCTGAAATGCATTTCCAGCTGGCAACATTAATTAGATTAATTCAAAAGAGAGGGACAAAAATGAGGAGGAACAAGGTGTGTGCAAATGTCCAGGCCTGTTATCAGGGCATTGATAGGGCAGAGGAGTGCAAGAGCAAGCCCAGCCCAGATATTCAGAATGACTTTGTCTTGATAGAAATATTCTGTGGATGCAGAGCAGTGGGCAAGCTCTACACTGGTCTAGTAACATGGGTATATTTGGAAGGGGGAGCAAAACCAGGGAGCATGCAGGAAACTTGGATGGAGAAAACTAAATAATTGCAGGGAATAAACAATATGCAGTATCTCTATTTGCAGCCATGAGTTCCTGAAGCCCAACTGCACTGATCAGAGAACTCACGGCCTTTTCTCCTCAGATACTGCAGATTCATAAGCTCTTAGCCAGAAACCAGGTAAAACGATCATGGAGGAAACGAGATGATTCCCACGCAACTATTTTTATTACTGATCATTTCTTTACATTCATCCACACATTCATCTGAATCCTTAATTGACATCTAACAACTCACATTCCTATTTCTGATCCTGCCTAGGACTCGGGTGCACAGAAGTCACTTCTACTCTTAGGTCAATGATTCTCAAAGGTTCCTGTCTACTGCCAACCTGTCCTTTCTCACACCGGAAGAAGAGCTCTGTGTTCCAGAGTCCTAGAAGGAAGCCTGGGAAATGTGCATTCACCTAGATGGAGATACAGGCTGGGCGTGGACTTGGGCACATGTCGTTCAATGCTCGGTTGCAACACGATTCATGGTGAACACAAAACCAGACCCTCCTGGGATGGTTCGGTGTCTTCATCAGCCTCCTAAGTGCTTCATGTACCTGCTTCCACATCTGCTTGTGAGCACCATGTCTGGGAGCACAGTCCTCTGGAGGAACAGAGTATAGCTCCATGTTTAACTTCCTCACATTTAAGTGCCTGGCAGTGTGGTCCAGCGGCTTCTTCATGGTGCCTATGGACGTTAAATTCCATGTGAAGCAGAAGGCAGTGCGCTGGGAGCAGCAGCTCAGTGAAGGCAGAAGAGTGCAGACGTGCGCATCTGTGATCCCACAGTCATCCAAACGCAGGGTGGTCAGGGTGGCTGGGACATTATCCAGCAGAATTCGAAGGGGCTCAGGACTGAAATCAGGCAGGCTGATATAGTTCAGACACAAGTGTTTTAGCTGTCGGGTCTGCTCTATCTGGGGCAGCTTGTTCCAGTCAGAGCGTGAAAGCTGGCAGTGAGGTAATGACAGGGTCTCCAAGGGGCACTTCAGGCACCTGGAGAAATCCAAGCAGTTAGATCTGGCAATTGGTGGTGAAAATGCGTGAGTGGTGGACAACAGCAAGGTGGACCAAGTATCACACAAGTCAGACCAATTAAGGGGTGACATTACCATCCATTTCACAAATCTGTGTGACATCACCATCACTTGCTTACATATCTGAGTCTTGGATCTCTACAGTCCCCTTTCCTTACTCCCAAACAGAAAACCACAGCTCTTTCCTCCTGCAGGCAGCAGGAGACAGGCAGGAATGAAAACTCAGGCAAGATCTGCCCACAGCTGCTGCGGTTGTCCAAAAGGCTGTCAGCAGTGTTTGTATCCTTGTTCCTGTGCTGCACCTCTATCCCTTGACATCAACTCGAGACTCCTGCTCTTCCCATCTGGTCACCAGCCCAGGCTGGAGCACAGCCTCCTCATGGTGACTGCAGGGAGGATCAGAGAGGCCTGGGGGATTCTCAGCACCTTAGCCGTAGCTGGCTTCTTGAGGAAAAATTCACACACCTGGCTCCTCCATACCTGAGCCCACCTCTTGGCATTCTAGCAAGTTATCCCTTTCTAGTCTGGTCACTCAATTACAGCAGTATGTGACACCCTGTTGTATTGTGAAAAAGTCATACGTTTGGTCTCTGTCACAGCTCCGGTGAGGGGCACACCATCCTTGTTCACTAATCTTTCCAGAACAGAGCAAGGCTCTCCTGACTGCAGAGGGAGCTCCACATCTTACCTGAGTACCCGGTCAAAGTGGCCTTCAAAGAAGGCAACAGCGTCCATATAAATCTCTTGCAAACAGCGAAGCTTAAGAAATTGAGAAGTGATTTGGGTGAACAACTCCTCTGTCCTCTCTGGGGAAATCATGGCAGGCCCAAAGATGTCAGAGAGAATTAGTTTGTGAAGATTTCTCATCTGCCCCAGAAAAGGGGCAAAATGAGCCAAAGCAATGAATGTGCAGCCATGAGCCACATCCACCTCCTGCACGGAATCTAGGTTTAGCACTTCCAGGAACTCTGTGACCCATTCAGGGCACAGCCCTGCAATACATGCTTCTTGCACTCCAGCTGCACCAGGTCTTCCCTCTCCTGGATGCACTTGAGGAGGTAGGATTGCACTGGGTGCAGCCATCCATAACTGAAATGCAGATGTGAAATCACCTTGAGGGTTTGCGCTTTTGCTGCCCTTGGCACACTCATCTCTGTGTTTCTCCTCTTCATGGCTTCTGAGGAGCACGCTTCTGACTTGTGTTTAGCCCAGACTCTCCAGAAGTGCTGGTGCACATCCCACATATCAAGCATTTGCAGTTTCAACCTCCTGTGGGTGAAGCAGTAATGAGTCTGAGAATTCAGGCCGGGACCCAGATTCCTGCTGTGCCTTCCTCACCTTCAAGGTCCACTGCTATCTTCTCTCCACTTTCTATGGTGTAGTTTTCTGCTTCCAGTTTCCTCCTTGTATCCACCCCAGTCCTGACTCCTGGTGTCTGTGGGAGGAGTCAGGAACTTTGTGCTCCTTTCACTGCAGCCTGCACTCTCAGCTGATGTCCCCATCTGACAGTGCTCACCCCGGTGGTCAAGGAATGCCCCAGGCTTCTCTGATTCTCCGCCAGTCCCCATCAGAAGTCTCTGCTTCATCCTTTAGCCCCCACTCTCCCTGACACTTTCTGTCCCCTCCTGGAATCCCAGGGCCCTCCCTCCAGGATACCTTGGGCACACTCACCTGGAGCAAACCTGACTGAACAACATGTCAAGCCCATCCAGCATAGCTTTAAACATCTTTTTCTGCACCAGGGAGACATCCTCCTGAGTGTCCAAAGTTCCTGGGCTCGTCATGCTAATCAGGGGTCCCAGGGGCAGGTGGGGTAAAGGCCAGGCCAGGACCACAGTCTTTAGGACCTCAGTGTGTCCCCTGGTGAAGGCCTCCATGAACACTGGTGAGGAAGAGCTCCCCTGGCAGATGTCCCACGGCCTCCATGGCCAAGGCCTTGTCCCTCAGCAAGCTCTGAATTGCCAGTTTCTGTAGTATGGGTGGCGACTGGGTACTCATCTTCTTGAAATCCTGAATGCAAGGGGGGCTGGAGAAACACTGAGGAAAGACACATCCTTTCAGTGAGTGCTGAGACACCCCTTCTCACTCACCAGGAACCAACATGCGGCCAAAACATCCCTGCGGTAAAAAGGGTGTCTGCCTCCCATTTGGTTCCCTGGATCATCCAAATCCCAACAGTGGAAACAGAGACACTGCTGGATGACCACTCAGCCTTTTGTAAATTCGCTGGGAATTTCTCAGGCTGTGAAACCTCTTGTTGATGAAAATACAGCATAAATTCATGAAGACACAGTTGAGACTTACAGCCTTTGTCATTTCTCAAGTTTTCTGTTAGAACCGAAGTTATATTTGTTGGCAGAAACCCTATACAATTTGTAGAAAGCCCTAGTGTCCTCTGCAGTTCTTTATGCCCAGGAGGTTTGCAGTAGCTCATATGAGAGCGTCCTTCAGTTCTTCGTGCTGATGATGGGAGGCTGCGCTGTAACCATCTCTGGTCCCAGCATTCCTGCCTCGCCACAGGTTCCTGTACAGCACGTAGCTCTCTCAAGGGTTCTTGGTTTTGTTCCTAAAGCCCCAAGATCTCTAAGATCCTGCCAGAACCCCTTGTACCTTCTCAGGGTCTACTAATATGCTATTGAATTAAATTACATAACTGTGGGAGACGTAGCATATTTAGTTTCAAAATAAAAAAATATGCATTATAGGCATTTTCTCACCACATCTGAAATTCACAGCTTTTCCAAATTTCCAGGTGCTCTAGGGACATTATCCAATAAATTTCAGGAGTGCACTATAGAGGAAACAGAAGCAGGTGGAGGTGGGGCTTGAAAGGTAGCAGGGTATTGTAGAAAAGGGGAGAGCACAGAAATAAGCTTAACATAACAAGAAATGTTTTGAGAACAGAACTGAGGGGAGGGTGTAACTGCACTGTGAAAATTTGAGGAACAGGTGTCACTGAATTCAAATCTCCACAACCGTCTTTTGTGTGGCTTTGGCCAAATTGTACAAAGTTAGATTTCCTCATGTGTGAATGGGGCTCACAACTGTATCTGTTCCTCATTCGTTCTCTGAGGAATGTTCTACTGTGATTTCCTGCTTGGACTGAGGATTCGGGGTGAAGGATCCCAGGGAGTCTGCCCAGACTCTTGAGCATCTATGCTTGTGCAGTGTTCCTCACGCTGCCCTCTTCCCCGTCCCTCCAGTGAATCTGGGGAGGATCTGTCTCCCCTGTTACTGCCCAACCCATCCCTACCTCCAGCACAGCCTGGTCCTGCTGGTCCATGCTGCAGAGATCAGTGAGTGACCAGTGCTGTGACACCCAGCTTTTTACATCCCTCGGGGCCCTCCCTGCTCTACCCCAGGCCTCACTCACCGTTTCCCAGGGGCTCCTGCCTCACCCACTCTCATGGAATAGCAAGGGCCATGATGCTCTCAGGCTTTTGTCTTCAGAGAGGCAGGGGAGGCTGAAGGGTGGAGGAGCCAGGGCTGAGAATGAAACCCACAGGGATTGGGGAGAAGATGGACCAGACAGGGACTGAGCCTCGTAGGGAGGTGGAGGCTGGGGAGAACGGAGTGGTGGACCAGAATGACTTCCTTTCTCTCCAACTTCTGTCTGCTGCCTGTTCTCAGGGAGCTGTGTGGCTCTGGGCAGATGACTGAACCTTCCTCAGTTCACTCCATGGGAAGTCCAGAGGGTGCCTTAGTGCCTCCCTCAGTAACTCATGGCCATGTGAGCGCAATGCCAGAACTGACTTAGACAAACCCTGGTGTTTCCCTGGAAATTTACTGATGTCAGTCAGGTGTGGTGGCCAAACCTCTAATGCCAGCTGTCTGGAGGTGAGGATGGAGGTCACTGGGATTTCATGGCCAACATGGGCTACATAGCGAGTTCAGAGCTAACCCAATTACAAACAATAAGCAAACCAAATTATAAAGGAACTAAGTTATCTGACATCTTACTCTGAGGATTTGTTGTGAGACTGACCTTGAAATCTCACTATAGTCCCGAAGGCCATGGTGCTGTGTTCAACTCCCCTTCATTATAATTTGTCACAGATACAACTGCTGAAGATATCTGTTCACAACAAACTTCCAAGTCTACAGGAACACAACTCCCTTTCTGCCGTCCTCCCAGGTCACAGCCACTCCATGCAGCACTAAAAGATGTGTAGTGAGTGATGGTGAAATCCATGTAGCAATGTCATAGAGCACTTTAAAGTTAGGGTGGAAAATGCTGAGATGTAGATTCTCACATATTCTTCTCCCATAGGAGAAATTTACTACTTATGGATGGAGATGTGCATAGAATAGATTCACTGGTTTTTTTTTGTCTTGTTTTGTTTGTATGTTTGTTTGCTCTTTTTCAGACAAGGTATCCCCATGCAGTTCAGGCTGGCCTTGACCTTATTTTGTAGCCAAGTCTGGCCTGGAACTCACAAAGATCCTCCTGCATCAGCCTCCCAAATGCCGGAATTACAAGCATGGGCCACGACACCTAGCCATTTTGTTTTCTTTTTGGAGACAGCATCTCAATATATAGTTCACTGTGGCATTGAACTCACTATGTACACTTTGTTAGCCTCAAGCTCATGGTGACCCTCTTGCCTCTGTCTCTTGAGTGATGTGTTTATAGAAATGCTCCACTATGTGCAATGGACATACTTTTAAAAATATTACAGAGCATGTTTGTGCCCGCTGTGGTGGCAGATGTCTGTAACCCCAGCACTTGGGAGGCTGAGGTGTGAGGATCTTTGGGAGGTAGAGACAAGTCTGGGCTACACCGTGAGCTGAAGTCCAGCCGGCACTGCCTGATGGGACCTGTTCTCAAAGAGAGGAAAAAACTGCAGAGAATGGTTTTTCAGGGTTTTGGGAAATGGAACATTGAACTTATCTGTTCATACGATCACACAGTTTATACTAATTTTAGGGACCAGAAGGAAAAGTATTTAAAAACCCATAAACAGGAGCGGTGGTGCATGGACTTTGTTCCACCATCTATGACGCTGTTGCTGGCTGAGAGCTTCCAGCCCAGCCTACGAACTTGGTGATTTTGTGAGACAAAAAATTTGAAATGGAATGAATTTTGTTTCCACCTAAGGCAATGTGTTGGCAGAACCTTCTCGGGAGACCAGCCCAAAATGATAGCTGTGGATGTAATGAAATTGGTTCTCACCTAGAATAACATGCTGATTTAGTGAGAACCTTCTCAGAGTAAAGAACAAACCATGAGTGGTCACACACCGGTGTAGTCCCACCACTTTGGGATTCTCATGCAGGAGGATCACAAGTTTGAGCTCAGGTTGGGTCACGTAATATCTGAGAATTGGTATCAAAATAAAACATGATCGGTGGGCTGAGATGTAGCTCAGTGCAAAGGTCCTAGGATCAAATCCCAGTGCCACAAAATAATAATTAATATCTTTAAAGGTAGGGGTTGATAAGCAGGTATGGGGACCATGCCTTAAATCCCAGCACTTAGATTGCTTAGGCAGGCCTTACTGTGAGTTTGAGGCCACTATGACATACAGAGTGTATTCAAGACCAGCCTGAACTACAGAGTGAGACTTCTTAAATACACAAAAGGAAAACATAATAGAAACTTAGAGCAGAGAAAAAAAATCTATTTTAGATGAATGCATATCTATATATTAAGGCAAAAGCTAATCTCATATGTGTTCATCAGAATCCACACAAAAAGGGACACTGATGGCATCCTGGGCTGTAGGTTACAGGGGAGACTAGCTGGGGGCAGATAGGGTGCATGTACTCGGGAGGGAGGTGACTCACCAGGGCTAGAAGAGGTGGCCGGGTGCTCAGTCCCCAGGAATCCAGGCAGTGACTCCAGGTTCCAGGTTCCTGGCTGGCTCCTCAGAGGCTTTTATTCACTCCTGATCCTGTCTCCCTTTTCAGATAGTGGTTTCCAATCAGAGTGTTGATTCTGAGCCTCCACCCTGTTAATCCTGACTGCTTCTCACCATTCTCAAAATGCATAGAGAGTTAGGATGAAAAGTCCCCTTTCAGAGTTGCTTGTGGTGCACACCTGTAATCCCAGCTTGCAGGAACCTGATGCAGGAGAGTCCTTGTCATTTCAAAACCAGCCTGGACTACAAAGTGAGCTCAAGGCCAGCTGAGCTGCTTAGTGAGACCTCTCTCAAAAAGACAGAAAGAAAGAAAGAAAGAAAGAAAGAAAGAAAGAAAGAAAGAAGAGAAAAGTGCCTTTTCGAAAGTGAAGAACTTCTTTATTTTTTTATTTTTTTTGGTCTTTTTTGAAACAGGGTCTCGGGATGCAGTTCAGGCTGGCCTTGAGCTCACTTTGTAGCCCAGGCTGGTCTCGAACTCTCAACGATCCTCCTGCCTCAGCCTCCTGAGTGCTGGGATTACAGGCATGAGCCAACATGCCTGGCTTTTATTGTCTTTTTGAACCAGGGTGTCCCTAAGCAGTTCACACTGGCCTTCAGCTCACTTTGTAGCCAAGGCTGATCTCAAACTTGCAGCAGTCCTTCAGCTTCAGCCTTCTGAGTGCTTGGATTACAGCCATGTGCCACCACTCCCAGCTGGAACATTAAGAACTAAGAAGGTTTGGAAACCCAGGACTCATGCACTGATGGACTCCTCACCATTGTTGAGTTTTAACTCACATGTGACCCCAACACGTCTGTGTGTGAGGCTGGCAGGGTGTTGTCCACTCCTGACACTGGTAGAAAAATTTCAAATTTGATAAACTGCGGTCGGGAATACTGGGGCACATAAAAAGGATCAAAATATTTCTGAGTTCGAACAAGTGTGTGAAGTCAGCGATGTCATCCTCAGGGTAACACAGTAGCAATTTGCATACATCAGTGGTGCCTGGGGGGCTGCGTTTCCTGACAGCAGATCGTGTGCCCACTCAGGGAGGACAGGGACAACCTATGGTATTTAAGACTTGAGTTT